AATGCCAAATTTTACTGTTCTATGAAATTGAATAATGCTATTACAAAGTATTGTTATAAATGCTATTACGAAGTACTATTATAAATGCCATTACAAAGTCCTACGCAGAATTTTTTTAAAAAAAATAAAAATTCTGTGCAGACCTGTGTATTATTGCAAATCTGCGTAGAAATTTTTATTTTTTTTCTTCACAGATCGCTGCCAGGTTCAAAGATCTTCGAAAAACTTCGGATCCAAAGATCTGCGCAGAACTGCGCCCTCCGATGTTACCCGATGATAATACTTGTTGCTTTTATACAAATCCAAGATATAATTTCTAGGCTATACGAATTCATGTTTATTATATCACTTAAATTCTATTTGTTTGCTCATTTGTTTAGTTATTCGTTCATTCACTCGTTTGGTTGTTTGCTCACTTGTTCACTCACTTCACATGATTTGATCTTTATCCAATAAGATATGAAATATGTATAATCCAATAACATGTAATATTATAATGAAAGGTCATTATACAACACTGTATAAAATATTCTCTCAGTAAAAAATCCCCCATATATTATATTCAGATATGTATCATAACATTGCATTAAAAAAATTGATTCAGACCCAGATCTATTATATCTTAATATGAATTTGAATTTATTGAAACTAAAAAAAAACTAACTATTTAATCCATACATTATTATAATTAACTTGAAAAAGTGTACAAGTTGAATGTATATTTCCCTTTTTAAAAATGCTAATTAATCCTTTCTAAATATATGCCATCCCTCTTTCCTTCTTGTTGTGTATTCCTCTTATTATGTACTCATCACCATACACAGTACCCCCCCCCCAGGGTACACAAGCATTTACCCTTGCTAAAATTGATTTAGATCCGGGATATTTTATGCGTTCGTCCATTGGTGAGAATTCTAACGACAATTACGATCAAATGTGGCTGGTATATGGCTAAACGGCTTGCCTTGCTTTAGCGATCCCCAGAAAAGGCAACGTTTAGAAGATCAACAACGGTAATCGAATTGAAGACTCAATCAGGCTTAGAAATTATCAAACAAAAGAAACATCTTAATATACACTTACCCAAATTCCAACGTCAAATACGATATCGACACAAGCAAAACCAATTGTTGTCCAAAACTCTTGCTCTCCCAAAAACCGCTGTTTATAGGAAAATCTTTCCTTTTTAATAGAAACACAAAATCCTCGTAACAATACCCCGGTTCCAATCAAGTTTCGATGTCTTTTTCGCACCCGGTGATTCTTTGAGCAAGGGTTTGGAAATTTCAGCAATATACTTCCCCCAGCTTCATAAAGACGCCGCTTTATAGTCAAAACCCCCGTTTCTCCATATTTTGTTGTATTTGGGTGCTCGTGATGTTCTGTCCCAGATTTTATTAAACACATTCGGAAAAATGGTTCTAATTCATAGTCCATAAAATAGACATCCATTTTTTTGCGGTAAAAATGTATAACCCTCCATGATCTTTTTATTTTACCTTTTGTATTTTTTTATCTTTTTATTTTATCTTTTTTATTTTTTTTATCTTTTTAACTTTTTTAACTCTTATTCATCTTTTTCACCCCTTTCATCTTTTTCACCCTATTCCAAACGTCTTTGATTTTCGAATTTTTCTTCTGGGATCGTGCTCGATCCATATAATATATTATCGCGGACTCATATGTAAGTCCAACCGAATCACCTGATTGAGAATGGGTGAATCCATTTTTGTTGTGATAAAAAGTAATTAAAGAATTATATAATAAAGATAACCCTCCAACACTTTCAAATCATAGAACGATTCGAATTATCTTTCCAAGTCGAATTTTATCACCTATGATATTTTTGATATCATTTTCGCAAAGGACCGTTACTAATTTCGCCAAACAAATTTTCTTTTTTATCTTTTTTATTGCCTTTTTTATTTTTTATCTTTATGTTTTACCTTTTTTATTTTTTTATCTTTTTATCTTTTTACCTTTTTCACTTTTATTTATCTTTTTCACTTTTATTTATCTTATCCATCTTTTTATTTTATCTTTTCACTGCTTTCTTTATATGATTGCGATTTCCAAACGTCTTTGTGATATGATTTTCGAATTTTTATTCTATCGCGCTCGATCCATTATCGCGGACAAATTCTGCTTCAGCTGAATCATTCCAATTGAGAATGGGCGAAATCTTTTAGGAATCCATTTCGTATAAGGGTCGATCATGTATTTTGTTGATGTGATTGACTTCGAGAATTCCGTCTGATATCAAATCATTCGGTTTTAAGTCGATCGAGAATTAAACGTGCTGTTTCCGACATCTTAGATGATTGACTTGACTTATTATTATTTAATACAAAAAAGTTAATAATTAATCGATGAAAAAGCTTCTATGGATGAAAATTTAAACTTACTTTTTTTTAATTTTATATTCATTGGATTCAACGCATGATGACGACGCACTTTCCTCTATGTTCGAACAATATTGTCGCTATTGTTGTCATCGCCATCATTATCGTCGTCGTTATTACCATTGGGCAAAAGGTGAAAACATTGATGATTTTCCTGTTTGATTCCTGAAATAAACGGAATGGTCTATAAAATTTATTAGAAATGGTGAGCGCAAATATTCTTTAAAATTTGAATCACGGATCGGTTATAACGTAAGATCCTTACCTGGGTATATCTGTTGATCATCCGGGGTTCAATTATCGGGTGACCCGCGTCCTTGGTCGGTAAATCATCTGAAGCCCAATCCCAAATACCATATAAATCTCCGTTGATCTGGAAGACCGGATTCGCATTCCGACGACAAAGAAGAATGGTACCATTATTGACATCACCGCATCTTGCAGACTCTTTGGCAAAGGGTTTCTCCCACTCTGCTCGACCATTTACGCCTGCTTTCCTTCGCTACACGGTCGTGTACCTAACTTCTTCCTTTCGTTACGCGGTCGTGTTCCCAACTGTTTTCTTTCGCTACACGGTCGTGTTCCCAACTGCTTTCTTTCGCTACTCCCAATCTTTCTTTCGCTACTCCCAATCTTTCTTTCGCTACACGGTCGTATTCCCATCTTTCTTTCATTACGCGGTCGTGTTCCCAACTGTTTTCTTTCGTTACGCGGTCGTGTTCCCAACTGCTTTCCTTCGCTACACGGTCGTGTTCCCAACTGTTTTCTTTCGCTACACGGTCGTGTTCCCAACTGTTTTCTTTCGCTACACGGTCGTGTACCCAACTTCTTCCTTTCGCTACATGGTCGTGTTCCTAATTGTTTTCTTTCGCTATACGGTCGTATTCCCAACTGCTTTCTTTCGCTACACGGTCGTATTCCCATCTTTCTTTCATTACGCGGTCGTGTTCCCAACTTCTTTTCTTTCGTGATTATGAAATTTAAATTCAATTCAAGTACAATAAACACTAGCAAAAAAAATAAAGACAAAAAGAAAAAGACCAGTATTACCAAATTCAAATTTCCTAATTTAGGGAGCGGTTAAAGCGTTGCGAGTCATGTGATCTGACACGGGATAATGTGGCTGACCCCACTTCGGAAGGAATCCG